AAAGATGCTTCTATAACTTTGATAGAAGCAATATATGTCCTCCAGCAAACCATGATACCACTTGATAAGCCATCCAAAGGAAAAAAAAAGAAAGAAGTCTCAATTACCACCAATAAATCTATTAAATTCAAATATATCAATATAATAGATCTTAGTTTTAACAAGCCCAACAATGAATGTATTAATGTCTTTCACAAACTCCTTCAAATATCAAGAGGCTTCACTCTTCCTAGCCCCCCTACAATTCCAAAAAGCTATGGTGACATTTAAGGTTTGAATTGGGATTACTCCCACTATTATCTCTATTCAACAAATCACATTTTCAATTACGAGAAAGAAAATTAATTGTGCCTAATGATTTGAGTTCTTTTTGAAGTTTAAATTTAGCAACTCCATAACTTACACTCTAAAACTTTACCTAATTCAGCAATCTTCTTTACATCAACAAATTCTCCATCTTTTATTTCATCCACAAGCAAATCAGATAAATAGGAACTTTTATTACATCCAGTGAACGTATGCTCCTCTACGTTCGGTTTTAGACCAAAACAGCGCAATACCGAGTTTTTTGAAAAAACTCGGTACAACTCGGTACTCGGTATTGCGCTTTTTTTGCTTAGAACCGAACGTAGAGGAGCGTACGTTCACTGGATAAAATAAAAGTTCGATAAATAGGGATTACCCTTGGTCTTCTCTTCATCACAAGAAGACTCCAAGATTTTGGACATGTTAACATCCATTGGTATATAAGAATTAACAGAACTAGACTCCTCACTAATAATAGAAATAGAAGATGTCTTCACTAGTTGCTCATTTGATTTAACAGGAACATCCTCGTTTAACTTAAGTCCTGCATAACCGACCAAAGGTTTAAAATCAACATTAACTTTCTCTTCTTCAGTTATAACGGACAAATCAAGATTAACATAACTAGCAACATATGAATTGACTTTATCCGTCCCCTCCAATTCAGAGGTCTGTGAAATATCATCTTTTGGCTGAAACTTTTTAACATAGAAAGGACCTGCTTTTGACTGATTTACAAGTTTATTAGAAAAAAATCTTTTTTCTGGTATCCTCTATTTCTAGTAGCAAAAAACTTCCTCATCCCATAATTAACATGCACCCATGGTCCATAAAAAGCCCCATTGTTCACATCTTCCGGCAGAGACTCACAAAAAATACTAACTTCCACGTTATACCTGACAACACCTTCATCATAAGAGATATTCTCTTTCAGATTACATTCATTGATAAAATGTTCAATTTTTCCACATTTAAAACAAAATGTAGAAATATTTTCATATTTGATTTTTTGAAAAAATCGTTCATTCAACCCTTCCACCAAAACTCCCATAAAGAGTTGCTTATCTAATGCCACACGAACACAAACTCTTGCATATTCTCTTTTACCCCATTGGAACAAATTACCATCAATCCATAAGGGTTTTGCTACCATTGTTGCTATTCTTACCACATTAATCTCATCCCCACAAAGTAATGGTAAATGAGGCATCCCAACCAAAAATAGGGGATGATAAGCCTTTCAATGAGGTAGGAGAAAGTTGAGGAGTCCACTTATCAAGGCCTACTATATGACCATTCACATACCACGTACCTCCTGATAAAACATTCTCCATAGCTTCAAGTGAGGAAAAAGAACATAAAACCCAACCTAAACAAGGGATAGTAAGGGGGAATTTCTCAAATTGCAACCAATGATGAAATAACTCATCAGCAATCATTTGGACTAGAACATCCTTCCCAAAAACTTTAACTACTATAGAAAACTTAAGTTTTTATGAGATGCCATGTACACTTGATTCATATAATTTGAAAAGAATAGATTCATCTTTTGAAAAATTAACCATAATATTCAGACGTCTAGACCACATATTAATAGGAGCTTTAGAAGGCAGACTGTCATGATCAACAAAAACTTCTTCTGACTTATTTTCAACATGATTCTTTTCTTAAGCATTTAAACAAATGCCAGATGACTTATCTAAAACCACCTTCTTAGACGACTCCTCCTTCTCAGGAATAAAAGATTTAGCATTAAAATTACCAATCCGGTTTAGTAAAAGCTTCATACCTGGGAAGATGATGCTAAAAATCATTCGGTCTATTAGGTGTAGAAAAACTACCAGAGGGGCAAGGTGTCTTTACCACAAATCCATCATCAATTTATTTTCCTTTTGCCAAAAACAGGGGAAGAAGTCTTAACTGGAATGGAAGGAGGTTCTTTAATCACCAAAGGAAAATCCTTGACAATCTGAAACCACCTTCTTAGATGACTCCTTCTCAGGAATAAAAGATTTAGCATTGAAATTACCAAACCTATTTACTAAAAGCTTCATACCCAAGGAAGATGACGCTAAAAATCATTCGGTCTATTAGGTGGAGAAAAACTACCAAAGGGGTAAGGTGTCTTTACCACAAATCCATCATCAATTTCTTTTCCTTTGCCAAAAATAGAGGAAGAAGTCTTAACTGGAACGGACGGAGGTTCTTTAATCACCAAAGGAGAATCCTTGACAATTCTACTTTGATGAACTGAACTACCTTTTTGATTTGAAGAAAAAGAACCATCTAGGGTTTAGAATCTGAGGCAGTACCACCGGCAGAATTCTGGAGACTAGCAGTGGCTGTCGACGACTCTACCATCGTATGCAAAAATTCTGCCAAAATAGCAAAAAAAGAATATTTTGAAAAAATGGGAGTTTCTCTCTCTAAGAAAAAAAATAAACTTTGGTTCAAGGTGACAAATAATCAAGAAGAATATTATGACCTACTTGCCCATCTATAGCTCATTACAAGATAGGGGAAACTCAATTAGTTGTACATTTCAATTGACAGATGATGGCGAACTATGTATGGGGTGAGTATAAAAAAATGCTACTTCTTCAATTAAAGGTAAGATCGGTAGCTTAGCAAACCTCAAAATAATCAAATGCCCACTATTAAGTAAAAATTATGTAGTATTTTTATTTTGTTAATTCAATTAAAGATGTGTGTTTTAGTTCATGTTGTGCAAAAATATCTCAAAAAAAGGAGAAAATTTTATATGTTTAGAACCAATGCTGTAGCGCTATAAGTATTAGTGTTGCATCACCTTCAATGCCCCAGCACTAGTTTTGGACATTATGGTGCAAGAGTCTCTAGAAAATTTCAGTAAAGATAACACCCTTTTTTATTAAAGGACAACACCATACAGCCAAAAATAAATATTGCAGTGCCAGAATCTCAACAAAATTTACAAATAATTCAACATTAAGTACCAATATTGAAAGCAACATAGGAATGTATGACAAAAGAAATCATCATAGCTCCCATCTTTTGTTATTTTGTGGTAGAATAGCAAACAAAAAAAGCACCATATTGACTCTGCTAAAGGTTGCACTGGTGCAATCAACAATCACTTCAGCTTAGCATAGCACCATAGCAGAGTATATTTAGTAGCATCGAAGTACAAGTTCATATTTTAACACCATGGTACCACCACATCGAGTTTTGCAGTGCCTGAGACTATTTATGTATTAAGTAAAAAGTAGTTTTTTTAATCTTTTTAAGGAAAGTTTTTGTTAGAGTTTTTTTAGATTTGTTTAGAATATTTTATAGATGCTAGAGGAGAGTAAAAGAGAGACTAGGAAATAGTGAGATATATCCATTAGAGTGGCAAGTCAACTTTTTCGTGAGCAAATAATAAATTGAAGAAGAAAGGAGTGTGGAGAGCATAGTTCAAAGGGATTCAATTTGGGAAAGGAACCATTTGCAAGATTTATTTGGGATTTATTAAGGGTAAATTATGTACTATTTCTTGAATTTAAATTTTAGTGAAATTGTGTTATTTTAATTATCGTTGTTTAAAAATATTTAAAAAAGGAAAAAATTAAAACTTTTAAAAAGCACCATGGCACCAACCTATATGACACTGCAACACCGAGATCATTACGCAGAGGCTCCCATTTCAGACATTACATCATAGTCTTCTCTCTTTGTAATTTCCACAGCTACCATAGTCAATGGCATGACATTACACAGCACTTTTGTACAAAAAATTAGCATTGCAGTGTCAAAAGACTTAGGAAAATGAGCGTCGGTGCGCCAAGCTTTGCAACACCTTAGCAACGAAATCACACTCTAACGCCCCAGTGCTGAAGCTTTTAATGAAGCTTTTAAAGCATCGTGGCAGAGCAGTTATCATCGCGAGGAGCCATGCCAAAAATATTTTCATTTGTAAAAAAATATTTTATTTTCATAAGTATCAACTTTCTTTGCAAGTTTTTCTATTAAAGTCATAAAAACGTAAAAACATCTTCTTTATCTTCAATAGGATAAGTCATGCATTTGAAATAGCAATAGAAGTTAAGTTGCAATTAGGCAGAACACTTCCTCATGGGTTCGACACTCTTCTCTAACAGTTTATTACTTGCTTCGACACATATGCTTGCATATTTTAGTTGGCTTGTATTAATTTCATATCAAAGAAAACTTAAGAATATTTCAGTTTCAGCAAGTCACATTCTTGCTCATATTATTAGCATTTGCTGCCCCCATTAGGATTCTTCATTTTAATTGATATTTGACTAATATTCTCTACTTGTACTTTCTTTTTTGAGCAGTAATGAAATTTGTGTTTTTAAGTTTTAATTTCAGTGCTAGCTAAACTCATTGTTTTGGATTGATTATGTGAAAAGCCTTTGTAGTTTCTAATGTAGATGCTTATACTTTTATGTATAAATGGTTGTTTTCAATATCATCCAACATTCATTTAATTTATGCAATGTCTATGTATAAATTAACATTTAATATGATGCATTTGCATGATGGAGGAGTTTTAGAAAGAATAGGAGAATTGAAATGAAATGCTTCCATACCTAGGCATATGATGTTAAGTATTCTAGGATCTACGGAAACAGAATATTTAATGGAATGCCATAAACCTTTCTTTAAATCTTTACAAACTTGATTGAGATCTAAGGATATACATACTCTGATTCACAACTCATATAAAAAAGTCTTCTTTGAAAAAGCTTATGATATTCATTTTCGTTAGTAAAAAATACTTTATTTACTAGCATATTCACTGTTTTGTACATTTCTCATTAGAGACAGAATACCCTTGAATTTATTTTGTAAGATAAATATACCTTGAGTAAATAGTACTAAAGAGAAAGTCCAAAATTTTAGTGAGAGAATGTTCTGAATTTTGAATTTCCGTTATAGTGGTGATCAGCCATCCCAAGCTTTGTTTTCTTCGAGAGATCATAACGAAGTTCATCTATCGAGTAATGCTAGAGGCAATTACCCAATCTTTCACGATAATGACCATGATGGTATATACAAACACAAACCATTGGTAATTCATGAAGGTGTTCGTCCAGCTTCTTGCAATAATGCGCCTGTTGAAGGAAAAGGCAAATCTGTTTTAATTCAACAAGAATGGAAAAAGGTATTTGGAGCTGAAGAAGTTCAAACTACATCAGAGCATGGCATTTCAGGTTTGGTTTCCAAAACAAATGACCTTGAAGCATCAACGCCCTCAGGTTTCAAGTTAAAAGTTAATAGATTTATTAATCAGGGTCTTTCTGACGATATTCATTTAGAAATTCAATTCCCTGTTCATGTGGATATAAATCAATTAGTTGCTGATGTTTTTTTCGAAAAACTCCTTTGGAAAATAAGGATAATGAATCTTCTATATGGGTTAAACGGTCTTATCCTAAAACTGCGTTTCAGAAAAATCAATTTTTGCATGCATGGTTTAAAACACATCGTATTAAAATTGATCATATTGATCAAGATTCAGAATTGCAAGGAAAAAGAAATATTGTTAAACTTAATGAAAATAAAGTGGCTGAAAATGTTAATGCCTTGAAAAAACTCCCTTGTGGTGAAAGTTTTTGGTAAAAACATCACATTTCTATTGTGTAGTACTAAACTAAGACATTAATGGGCTAGATTTGGTGGATTTCATTTAACGTCCCTTGGTTTAGATTGGATTTTATGTTCATTTTAATCCAATAAAGCTATGGATGAAGTTCTTAGTGGTGGTCCTTGGTATGTGGGTGGACACTTAATTGGGTATTGATAGATTGACATCTCAATTTTCTCAATTATCTTTGAAAGGGTTAACCTCACCTATTTGGTTTCGTTTGCCCCATTTACCACTATAATGTTGGGATGAAATTAGTATTGTGAAGATTGCTTCAAAAGTTGGTACTCCTAAGCCAAGAAGAGAGAGGCGCTAATATGTTTAAGTGGGGAACGAGGGAGTTTGCTAGAGTTTGTGTCCGAGTTAATTTGGTCTCTAAACTACCTCACGATGTTTGGATAGATGGAATGAGTGGGAAATTTTTCAGAAGATTGAAAATGAGAAAATTTCATTATTTTGTTTTATACGTGGAAAGATTGGTCATAAAGCTGATTTATGCATTGAAAATCAAAATATGCATGTTCATAAGGCTAATGATAATATAGTTGAGGAAATTCAAGGTACATTTATGGATAAAGCTGCAGTTCAACAAAATGAATCTGAATATGGCCCGTGGATACACATGAAGTTCAGGAACATAAAGAATAAGTTCTGGTTGAACAATAATTTGGTGAAACCTGGTGCTAATAATACAGTGTTTCATCCAGTGAAAATGCCTATTTCTGTTAAACATAATGATCTATTGAGGTCTAAATAATTAGATGTTGTCCAGGACAATAAGAATTTATCTGATAATTCCCAGTCTGAAATTCCAATTGCTAAGTCCGTGAAGGCTAAAGTCGCAGAAATTGATTCCAGTGGTGATTTAGCTGGCCTTAACGCTAATAAATTCAATGTTTTATCACAAATAAGTGATGATATTGATATAGAAGTGAATTTGGTAGATTGTCAAGCTGCTAAATCCGTAATTTCAATTTCTAAAGTTTCTGTTGCTGATGTTTATAGTAAGCCTAGGGATGTTGATGAAGTTCCTGCTGCTGAAGTTTCTGGTGTGCAAACAGCTATGTGAAGCTGAATCAAAAAATTGGAGAGAAGGCTGAAGATAAAAGTCGACTTTCTGAAGGTATGAAGGTTCTGGAGAAGGATGGGAAGACATTGGATGGTTTATACTCAATAAAATCGGTTGAAGCTGATCACATCAAAGCAACCTTCATCCCAAAATTTGAAAACTAGATAAGTTCTAAATCTTGGAATTGTGATAAAAGTGTTGAGGTTTTAAGCTCTTTAAGTGTTAAACAAAAATGCTTGAAAGAACTTAAAGCCTTGGGACCTATTGAAGAAATTCCTAGGAAAAGGAAAGGTGATGTGAAGATGTATCAGGGTGAAGGGGAGGGTTCCCCTTTGACTTCTTAAATGTCTTTTTTTTTCTTTTTTGGAATTCTAGAGGAGCCAAAAAGAGAGTCTTCTCTTTATCTTTGAGAAATTTCTAAAGACAATAATGTTTTTTTTATTTGTTTACTAGAAACTAAGTAAGCTTGTATTGAGGATTGGGTTTTTTTTTTCATCATCTTGCTGTGAGTACTTCGGATAGGAATCTTGTCTAATAGAAGAGGGTGGAGGTTTCCTTTGATGTTTTTGAGAGTTCTTCTAGATCTGTGATTTGTTCTATTCATATTCCTAATATGGGGGTTTGGAATGTTTCCACGGTTTATTGTAATATGGATTGTCACATTAGAAAAGGGTTATGGGATAGTATTTAAAGACTTTCTTCCTTTAGCTTTCCTTCTATTGTGATTGGTGATTTTAATTGTATGTTTTCTAAAGAGGATAAGATACGTGGAAAGAGGTTCATATTCTCTCAAGGTCCTTAGGAGATGAAGTCGTTTATGTCTAATAATGAATTGCATAATGTAGGTGTTATTGGACCAAGATTTACTTCGTGTAACAACAAAGGAACATCAAGAAGTTGGGAAAGGCTGGATAGATGTTTTCTCAACTATGTTGCTATCGAGTGTGTTCCTTTTGTTACCATTAGGCATCTTGCAAGAGTTACTTCGAATCATACCGCTCTTATTTTCAAGATAAGTGACATTCCTCGTCCTCAAAAGAAGTTCAACTAGTTTGAAGATGTATGGAAATCTTATCTGGCAGCTTGGAAGGTGGTTCTAAAATCATGGAAGAAGCAAGACTTTGGTGATGAGGCTGAAGTACTTCATAGAAAAATGTAGAGATCATAAAAGGCTTTGTATTTCTGAAATAAGAATACACTAAAGAACTTGAATGAGCTCAAGAATTAAAAAGTGAAATTTTCAAATTTCAATTGAAAGAAAGTGAGGCTCTCGGGTTATCTTCAGAAGATTTAAAATTGTTGAGATTAAAAGTAATTGAATTGAATGTGACATTAAACCAATTATCTACATGATAGAACCAACGAGCAAAGGTGAAGTCTATTGATGAAGGTGACTCTATTTATAATTTCTTTCACAAATCACAATTATTCTTCAGCTAAGAAGAATGAAAACTTAACCAAAGCAAAGATCGGAATGGACATTTGTTTGAAGATCAAGAAGATATGGAAGCAATTTTTTTATTATTTCAAAAATAAATGAAAGAACATAAGTTGTAAGCTGACGAATTGGCCTGATGCTTGTGCATATCAGAAAATCACAAAGATGATTTGGTGAACCTAAATGTTGATTTTATGTTTGAAGAGTTTTATGAAGCTGTTTATCAAATGGCTAACAACAAATCAATAGGGATTGACAATATCACTTCATCTTTCATTAAATTCTTTCGAAATATTGTTAAGAATCATACGTGGAAAGTTATAGATAGCTTTTGCAAAATTGGCAAGATGAATCCTATGTGGAAGGATACACTAATAGTATTAATGTCTAAGGTGAGAAATCCTATTGAACCTTCTCAGTTTAGACCAATTAGCTTGTGTCAAACAATTTATAAAGTTGTAACAAGAATGCTATCGAATAGATTGATGTGGTATCTTTCCTAAATCATTTTTGAAGATCAAGTTGATTTTATTCATGGGAGATCGATGTCTGATCATTACCTTTTAGCCCAAGAAATCTTTAATAAATTCATATTTTCTAACTATAAAAAGGGTCTAATGACTATTAAGATAGATCTGGAACAAGCTTATGATAGTATGGGCTGACCATCTTTAGTTAAAACTTGGATTGATTTAAATTCCCAATAAGATTTTCTAATCTTCTTGTTGAATGAATGATGAATGCTAGATTTTCTATACTTATAAATGGAAGAATGTCTAAATGGATTAAGGATAAGAGAGGATTTAGACAAGGTTGTCATTTGTGTGCATATTTATTCATAATGTGCTCTCAAATTTTATCTATCTCCATCCTTCAAAGAATGTTAACCTCTATAATGAAGATAAAAGAAATAATTTTTTTTTTTTCTAAATGATTACCTTCTCTCAAATCCTGCTGAAATCCTGCGAATACGGCTTCCCTATGCCTCTGCAACGACACCAAAGAGGTTGTATCATGCATAGGTCGTCTCGATCGCATCCTTATTTGTGTCGTTAAAATGAGAACAAAGCATTGCAAAAGGATGTTGCTTCCTCGCTTCTTCAATCCCACGAACCTTCCCTCAGCTCTTCTCCAAGTAAAAGCCCTAACTAACTGAGTCCCTCTAGCGCCGAGATCCAAGCTGCCTCATCCTCCCATATTCGTCACTATCTTCTAAATCCAAACCCACGACCAAACTCCCGCAAGACCTTCGAACCCAGTCTGCATCCCTTTTATTTACCGAAAAACCCTATAGTTAAAGACCTTATCTCCCTTCAACCTCCCATTTCCCACCTCATAACCAACCCTACATACATGTAGCCGCCACTAACCTCCACTCCTTGCCAAATCCCTAACCTCACCCGACTTGCTTCTCGCATATAACCATCGAAGCATCCTTCTTGATCTTTTCTGAACCTCGATTCCCTTCCTCCTGCTGCAATCGACCCGACCTCAATCTTACAAAAATCATCTAGTCTCAAGCCTCTTCCAAAGAAAAAATTATTAGGTCCGGTCAACGGACCTAGCTTTGCCTTCCAACGCCAATAAAAATTGGACATGTGGATTAGGGGTGTTAACATTGGACCCGACTCGAAAACCTGACTCAAACCCGACCCAAAATTTTTGGGTTTGTGTTGACCCGAACCCGAAGCGGGTCGGGTTCAGGTCCGGAAAACCGACCGTTTGCAAAACCCGGCATGACCCGGAATGACCCAGAAAACCCCGCATGCCCGGCTGCCCCAGATGCCCGCGCAGCTTGCCTGCTTGCCCCCGCACCCCGTTGCCCCGCTGCCGCGCGCATTGCGTCTGCCCGAACGCGTGGACCACTGGACCAGCGCCTGCCCGATTCGCCCGAACAAGCGTGATGCGCGACCGAGTGGCCCTGCTACCGCGTGACGAGCGACCGTTGGTTGCCTGCTTCTGTGTGGCCTCTGCTGCCGGCAACACCTCTGCCCTCGTGACGTGCGACTGCTGTCGATTTGGCCAAATATTTGAATGGAGACGCGGGATTTGGCTGAAATAGGTCGGGTCGGGTTGACCCAAACCCAAAGTGAGTCGGGTTTGGGTCTAGAAAACCGATCCATTTACAAAAACGGGTCGGGTTATGGTTGACCCGATTAATGCCGGGTCAGTTCCGGGTTTGACCTGAACCCGACCCGTTACCCGAAATTGACACCCGTAATGTGGATGAATAATAAACGTGGAATGTTTTTAATATAAATGTATGCTTTATGTCTTGTTAGCTCGATCGACCTGACCCACTAACCCATGGTTTGAATTCAGGAATATAAGAATGGAAATGAAACATTTTTACTTTTCACTCGTCATTTTCACTTCTCTCTCTCTCTCTCTCTCTCTGCCCTCGTACTCGTGTAGTCTTCAATCTTTTGCCATTTCCATTATGCAAGACTTTCTTCCCGGCTGTAGAGGACATTGGAGTACTTAAGCTACATTTAAGAAAAGGTAATGATGCGCCTTTGTTGCCCCTATGTTGCACATTTGTTACGCTTTATGTGAGATTTTACTTTTTTAGGGTTTTATGTTCATTTTATACATACTAGTTTGTTTAATGCGATCTTAAAATTTTTTTGTTCTATTTTTCAACCTTCTTCATTAATGAATATGAGATATATTAAATGATTTTGAAATTAATTTTAAGTTGCGCTTTAGTTGCATTATAGTTGTACTTTAGTTGCATTTTAGTTGCACTTTAGTTGGGTTATAGTTTCACTTTACTTGCACTTTTCTTAATTATCTTTTATAATTATTTTTTCCAAATGCCTTATCAAAGGCAAGTTACTTCTCAAGGCTATGTTACAACTTTCAAAAAAAAATTTATGATGCTTTTGTCGAGATAATTGACCAAGATCTTGACCAAACTTTGAGAAATTTGAACATTCTACAATTTTTGAAGTTTCCAGCATTCTAGCACTGTATACCACTTTTATATGAGATTCTAAAATTTTGGAATTCTTTTGATGAAGGCTTCATTTTGCTTAAATTCACTTCTGATGATGTTGCTTTGCTGATAGGTGAGATTTTTAATAAAGAATTTCAGATATATTTTTTTTATTTTCAATATATTATGTTTGGCCAATTAAATAAAAAATTTCTCAGAGGTTTGTCTAATAGAGGTGATGATATCAAATGAAAGATTGATCCCATCATTGGACCTCTATTAACTGAAATAAAATTGAAATGACAAAGTTAAATAGTTTAACTTATAATGCAACAAAACTAAAGAACATTATAATATTTTTGTTATATAATATATTTTTTTCAATAAAAAATTATAAAACCCCTAGAAGGCGCATATATGTAGAAAATAATATAAATGAGTTCTCTTCTATCAATTGTGTTTCATATTTAAGGGATTTCATGATCGAGGAATTTGATAAAATGTTAAATAAGTTTGTAATGGATAAACCATTGGGTTACATCAATGATTTTTTTTCTCTCATATTGGTAAGTTTCCTCAACTACTTTCTTCCTCTCATAATAATTTTTAAAGTTAAATAATGTTTTTTTTATGTGTGGTATTATACAAATTTAGTTTTTGGAACACATTTTCTTAAATAAACCATCCAATCAAAAATTAAAATCACATTTTTTGAAATGGGAGGGGAATACTAAAATATTCTATACCCAAGACAGTGTTATGACCTTATTTAAAGATTTCAAGTCAAAGGAGGTACATTGTAAGACTAAATTTCATTTGATCATTTTTTTATTCCAAACGCAGCTATAGCACAACTAAATCGCAACTATAACGCAACTATAGCGCAAGTATAGTGCAACTATAGTGCAATTAAAGCGTAACTATAATGCATATATATCGCAACTATAATGCAATAGGATATTTTGTAATATTAGTTTTAAATTTTGTATAGATTTATCTTGTTCTATAGAATGTTACTAATAAGGAAGCAAAAAAATTCAGGGCTGACTTACATGCTATTCAAAACTTGAAAATCTGACCTCATAAATATCCCCACAAAATTCACTCATCACAACAAAAAAAAGTTCACACCCCCACCTTCCTCTCCCCGTTCTGCGCAAGTATAGTGCAATTAAAGCGTAATTATAAGGCATCTATATCGCAACTATAACACAATAGGATATTTCTTAATATTAGTTTTAAATTTTGTATAGATTTGTCTTGTTCTACAGAATGTTACTAACAAGGAAGAAAAAAAATTCGGGGCTGACTTAAATGCTATTCAAAACTTGAAAATCTGACCTCATAAATATCCCCATAAAATTCACTCATCACAACAAAAAAAAGTTCACACCCCCACCTTCCTCTCCCCATTCTCTTCATCAAAAACCACCTCAAAGTTTTGCTCAGCCTCTTACTCAACCTGCTACTCAACCTCCTAGTCAACCACCTCTTACTAAAGGTTAATATTGGTATACTATTCAGAATAAATTACTAGATGCATTGGAAAACATGTGCAATATAATTGAATAGAATTTGGGTAGAAGAGTGGATCGAATTGAAGATAATTTGAAAAAACTCAAAGTAATGGTAGATTCTCTACAATACAAATTCATCTACCAACTAACATAATGTGAATATAATATTGATAAACTTTTTATATCTATGTCTTTCTCAAGTATCCAATTTGTAAAAAAACCAAGAAGTGCATATGTTCCTTCACCACAACCTAGTAAAGATCTTCCTCCACCATCACCCATTAAAGATGTTCTTGCACCATCACCCAATAAAGATTTTCCTCCAATTATAAATTTTGTACTACTGAGATAGTTGCTACTTAGTTTTGCATGTTTGATATTCTTGCAACTTATATATTTTTGATGATTCCAAATATTATTGATTTGATTCTTATTTCTCCTAAAATATTTTAGAATAATTATTTTGCTCTTGTGTGTACTAACATTTCAGGAAAATCATACTCCGGATTGTTAAAGACTTCAAATCAAGATCAACTTAGAGTTTATAGTAATTGAAGTATGTATTTTTAATTTTATTGAGTATGAGAGAGTGTGATTATAATTGAGTAAGTGAGCACACACACACCGGGGGAGAGTTTAAAATTCATATTTTTAAAATTGATCGTATTATATGATATCACTTTGTACAGGATGGTTTGATTAGTTATTTTTCCTAACGAGCAATTGAATGAATAGAAATGAAAATATTTTTTCAAAGTATGAATTGTACGGGATGTTCTCAATTTTTGTACAGGGATGAACACCTATGTTTTGTTCTCGAACGATGATCATATTAGATGATCTCAATTTGTATACAGGGACAAACGCCTCTATTTTGTTATTACATGAAGATCGTATGGGATGATATTAATTTTTTTATAGGGACGAATACCTCTGTTTTGTTCTCACACAAAGATCTAACAGGATGATCTTAATTTTCGTACAGGGACGAACGCCTCTGTTTTGTTCTCGCACAAATTTTTTTTTCTAAGTCTGGATCATACGGGACGATCCCTTTTTCATATTAGGATGAACGTCTCGGGTATGTTCTCGCTTATTTTGTTGTGACATTTCATACAAATAAAATTTGAAATTTTCTAATTGTTCATCCCGGATGAACTTAGTTCATATTTGAACTATTTGTACATACGAACATATAATCGTATTGTACGATTTTACATGCTCTAAAAATAAAAAATTTAGTTTTTTAGATGGTTTTTTGTGTCTTTTGTATAAAAGGTCCATTTAAAACTGAAATTAATACTTTTTCTAATTTTGTCAACGTGAATTTTCAATGGCAATTGAAAGAGAGAGTGTGAGAGAGTGTTTGAGAGAGATTTCTTGCTAGTGAAGTGTGAAGGGTTCACAAGGTTACTCAAAGGTAAGGATCTTTATGTGTGATATGTGTTTTTCACTCTTTCTCTTATCTTTATATCTTGCTCATGAGAAGATCTTTGAAGAAGATACGGTTATCTGCTGACACTTGGAAAGTGTGAACAGCTGACGATTTTCTACTGACACTTGGAGAGTGTGAACAGCCGAAGGTACTCTGCCTACACTTGGAGGGTGTGAAAGGATGAAGGTACTCTACCTACACTTTGAGGGTGAGAAAGGATAATGATACTCTGTTTATACTTGGATGGTGTGAAAGGACAAAGGTTCTCTACCAACACTTGGAGGGTGTGAAAGGGCGATGGTTCTCTGCCACACTAGGGATTGGTTGAAGAGAGTTTTATAAAGGTTTCTTCGCCTTGCTGTTGGGGCAAAAAGAGAGTCACTTTTGGTAATAGTTCAATACTTTATGAGGGAGTCTTTAGAGAGTGGATGTAGGTTGTGTTTGACCGAACCACTATAAATATTTGTGTCATTTTTATTTTTACTGCTTATTTACTACAATTTTAATTCCGTGGTTAAAAATTTTATTTTCAAATAACTTCAATTAAATTGCTACGAATCATTAACTAATTTCAAATTTTAAAAT